TCGCGCTAGGATGATTTAAATATACGTACATAAAATGTCAAAGCTTTCTCTTTAGGAAATTCATGTAAAAGTATACGTGAACAGCCACCGTAATAATATACAAAAATATACAATATCCTTGTAATTGATTATTTAAAGCTTTTTTTTTTTTTTTTTTTTTTTTTTTTTTTTTTTTGTAATAATTATAGTGTTTTGAAAAAGCCCACTTTGCAATAAATATCGTCTTAGCTCTTCTCCGATAACTTAATGCGTAATAAAAAATATAATTTTATTGACAAATACAACTGCTGACTTGTCGACAGCACAATATACTCTCTATAACAGTAGGCTGTACTTTAATGCAAGTAATTATGTAACGAAACTCCTTGCATTAGCGATTCTTTTTAAATCGACAAATAGCCCTAGCCTCGCTCTTAACGTCACAATATTTCTCTTGCGATTCGCCACTTACGAATACGAAGATTCTATCACCAGCTCGGAAATAGTCTTGCGCGCTCGAGTCACACCAACATCTAAATTCCCACGTCAAAGGCCGGACAACGCCTTGAGGCATTGCGTCACGAGCCTCGCCAAGAAAAGCATCCATAATGACGCGCACCTGCAGCCAAACATCTTCTTAGTCCCAGGCGAGGGTAATGCCAAGCGGAAAACGAGAGAGCCGACCTTCTAATTACGGGCGTCCCGCGGACGACGCAGCTTTTCTCTCGTCTTACGTAACCCGGGAAGCTTTAGCGCGAGAAAAACTGGCGGAAAGGCTTCCTCGCGCTTTGACCGCGACTTATCGCGTAAGTTGTTAGCACATCGGCTAAACCAATTATTATTCAACGTAGTTACTCGTGACGATAGATGATCGATAGACCGATTTACTTCGCAAAAGTGCACTAGGTACACTATCTATGCCATTTGTGAGCCTATTTCAGTGCTCGCGATTATTCTTTAACGTGCCTTAGGAAATAAATGCACTTTTATCGAGAAGCGATAGGGGCGTTATGTTATTGTTCATTACATTATTATCGATACCGATTATCAATACGATGCTACAACATTAAGATGCTACACTACGAATTTACAATGTAGTTTTTTTTTTCTTTTTTTTTTTTTTTTTTTTTTATTTTACAAGCGTTTGCCTATCTTTTCAATCCTTTTCCATTAGGTTCTTTCTATCATAATATCAAGTTTTATCCTACATGCCGTTTCATTCATTACCTTACTACGTCATTACACGATACCATTCCTAAGTTTATTATCGCGTATAAAAAATCGTTTTATAAAAAGTATATATATATATATATATATATATATATATATATATATATATACGTAGTATATTCGCCATATTATAACGGTAATACGAATACAGTAATATTGTAATTTGTTCGAACGTATCGAAGAATTTAGTGATTCTTTGCCGCGTATGGTCATTTATTATTATATTATTTCTACTATATTGAAAAGAATTTTGCTATTAATTCTTGGTCTCGGAGTATTCACTCCGATATAATGGAATATTTAATTGTTCAATGATAGGTTTTTGCTGCATGAGGAGGCGAAATGTGAATTTTAAAACGTTGGACAATTAATTAATTCACTAATTACTAGGATGCTAATAGTAGAATTACTACATATAATTACTAAATACTAGAATAGAGATGACGAATGAATTTGTGAATTTGTGAATTTGTGAATTTGTGAATTTATATGGGAAAATGCCATTGAAACGTATGCAAATTTAAATTTAAATTTAAATTTTTAATCGTGTCTTTATTTACTTCGGCCTAAACTCTTTCTCATCTAATTCTCGACGTCGTTTCTGCCTAATCAGCCTTGCATAAAATAATTGCCGACAAACCATCTCGATTGTATTTTAAATTATTTTGAGGAATATTATATGTACAAATGATATTGAATTTGAATAGAATAATCGTTGTAATAGGGGCGCTTGTATAATATTATCTTGATTAACGATACGATTAATTAGCCAAATAATTCCCGTGCAAGGATTTTCCTATTAACCTATTGAAAATTCATCGATTTTTCTAATTTTAAAATATATAATAGGAAATAGCGTGTGATTTTCCGAGGCCGCGTTTTCTCTTGCTCGCACATTCTCAAAATCAAACGACAATTCCTACATCGTGTACCTCGCAGAGGACGTGGTTCTTACGAAATCCGTTTGCTTCTACATACGAAAGCGCCATCGCACTTTTGCCAGCAATTACGGAACGAAAGACTCTCAGAATTTGAGCTAATCGTTGTTACTTTCTCACCGAATTCCGCAAATTTTCTAAACCACATAACTTTTACAAGCAAAATCTCTGCGAAAGACGTGTCGAGGAAAAGTAAATAAGGCGACTCCCGCGCCTCACGGTGGTCTTTAAATGAAGAAAGACAGAGGAGGACCAAGCAGCAAACACGACCTCGATCTCGGCTTCGTTGAAGACAAACAACAAAGCCGCGTAAGAGAGACGCAAAATGTCGACTGCTTTCTCGGGCCGTCGGCCGTAGCAAAATCGTGAGAACGGAAACTTTGTTACACGCCGTGGCAGTGAATACTTGTGGAATATATCGCCGCGCGTTCTTTCGCTTTTCCAGCGACTACTCTCTTTTCTTTCCTCGACTCACCTTTTTCTTTTTTCGTTATTTTTTTTTTTGTTTTTGTTTTTGTTTTTTGTTTTTGCCTTCGTACCATTGCAAAAAGTGCGCGTGTGCTCGAAAGCAACGAGGAGTGCTACATTATGCCGTAGAGCAAAATGATTCGCTTCTCGGGCCCGTGATCGACAGCTAAACGATTGTACTTTAATTGGGCCCCGATATTGCATTAGCCATAATAAGGCATTTTTAATGGGGACACCAGGTGCGAAAATTTGAAATTCCGTGCCGCGAGCATTTTACGCATGGAGGTAGCATGGAGTGCTTTCTTCCTTTTCTTTTTATCTTACTTTGGGCAGCTTTTGCAACGCAGCTTCTTTTAAGTGGCACGTTGTAATGAAAGAGACAAATTTCCTGGGGAGCAAAGAGAGATTTTTCTTTGAAAGTTTTACTCAAAGGACGTACGTATCTCGTGTTTCGACTTTGCATGCCCCAAGGATTTTATTATTTTACGATATAATCGTCGCATATGACCGACCGAGACTTCACGCAAGGCCCTTTCACAGGCGCCTGTGTTGCACTCACAATATTACTTTTAATACATTTTTAAAGCCGCGGTTATATTTCCCATGTAGAAACACCTTCCCCGTCCTCACAGCGTAAATTCTTTTACGGCTCTACTGCCGTACAATGACAAAGACAACAAAAAAAAAAAAAAAAAAAAAAAAAAAAAAAAAAAAACAGAAAACAGATAACAAAGAGTAGGCTAGAATAAAAATTCATTATTATTACTATTTACTATTTCATTATCGCTGCCTCTATCATTATCATTAATATTATTATTACTATTCTTTTTTTATATAAAGGTAAACTTTCTCATGAAAAAGTATGTAATTGTTTAAAAAATATATTAAGAGAGAACGGAGAGAAAAATTTATGTCAGCAGGAGTCGTTACATTCGTGTAAAATCTTGTCTATTACCAATTGTATAATTGTTCATAATTCATTAATAATTGCTTTGCGAATACGTACTGACGGAAATGTACGAAGGGTTTAACGATCTAATGATATATCAGTCTTTGTTCTATTCATAGTAATATTATGAAAATCTTAGTCCATTCCTTAATTACCGTACAATTTAATGATATAACATACGCTGTTGTTTCTCACTCATGAAAAAGAAAAGAAAAAAGAAGATCTGACTTAAATTAGAGAGGTAATTTTTATTAACAGCAGGAAAATAAGCATATTATTAAATTACTTGATATCATAAATTTCAAGCAATTCCTTAATATCTTATTGATATTTTCGAAAGTTTAATAGCATGGAGTATGGTTAATTCTGCTCTAGTTAATATCACTTTGAATTATCATCTAATGTTTATAATGAAATTATTTTCTAATTAGCCTTTAGGAATTCATAGAATTTTAAATTTATTTCTATAGAATTAATTCGGAGAAATAAATGGATTAATTATAATTTGTAATCTGGCGTGTACGGCTAATGATCTTACACTCGCAGAAAAATTCCCAATGCATATTTGTCAATTTACAATAAACTGCAGCATGGTAAATTCAAAAAAAAAAAAAAAAACTAAATCAAATACAATGCATAAAAGAAGTTAAGGCATAGATGTATGAAATTAAGCTGGTGATTTTAAAGTTAATAAATTTTTACATGCATTTAGTAAATCGTACATAAAATTAATGTAACGAGTCTTCATTATTAAAGTCAAAATTTAATTATTTTTAAATCTTATACATTTGTTACATAAATAACTTATTTCAATACATCAAATTACAAGAAGACAATTGCAATTGTAACATTATATGTATATCTATTTTAAGTCTATTTGCAGTATATCATTAATTTTAAACTAATGTCTTAGAATATGTAAATAATAAAAATAATTCATATTTATTATATAAATTAAAGATTGTTAAAACTTTGTATTGTGACGAGACTGGAGTGAAAAATGTTTTTGCGATCGAATGAACCAATAATTAATGAGCAAAAATAAAAGTGACGGAATATATGTAAACGATTGTCCCGTTAGATACTTGTTAACGGTGATTGGTGTTTGTACTTCGTAAGATTAAGATTAGTCGAGTCGAAAGTCGAGTTTTGGCTCGGAGAGCATACGTCTTTACACATCAAATGTCGACAGCTTCTGCTAGATATTATCCCTTTTATAGTAACCGTTATACGTGCGATGTAGGCTCGATTAGATGGTTATCGCGAGAAGAATCAGAGTCTCTCTCTCTCTCTCTCTGTCTGTCTCTCTCTCTCTCTCTCTATCTCTGTCTCTCTCTCTCTCTCTCTCTATATATATATATCTCCCTTTTGAGACAGCAGCCTTAAGCGTATCCCAATCTTCTCTGAATAACTTACAAAAATCGTCTGGTTTTCAGGTGAGATGAAGTCGGCGCAGGAGCAGCAGCAGCCGAACTCGATGGATTCGAGCGACTCGGCGACGACGACGGGCTCGAGCGAGTACGCGTATCGGCCTCTTACGACGAAGCACCGGCGCGCGGGCAGCACCGGTACCACCGGCGACGAGGAGTATACGACCGACGAAGACGAGCTCTTCGGTGACGAGGCGGATTGCGCAGCGGGCCCCGGCCTCGGACACGCGCCCCATCCCATCCTTAAGAGCGACCTCGCGAGAGCGGCCACTGATCTATTCGGCTACAAGGCTGACGAGGAGCGCGACGAGCCCACGAGCCTCTTCGACGAGGACGATGCGAAATACTGCAGCCCCAGGTAGGTTAAATAATGTTACTTTCCCGTCTTTTTATTAATCCCTCGACCCAAGATTTGAGTCACTTTCATTCCATATCTTTCACTATGTAATATTACCTTGGAAAATTAATAAGTATAATTTTCCGTAAATCTGTGAATTATTGTGCTTTGAGTACTTCGTAGATATAATTGAAGGCTAATTTAATAGAAATAGTGGCTTTTCATTATTTATGATACTCTTCCTCCTAATGTAATGTAAATATTCATTGGATATAATGCGAGCATATGTCCCTCGTATAATGGATTAGAGATGCTCCAAATTATAATTGCTATGTGTACATGTACTTTCGTAAACTTATTTATTTATTTATTTGTTAATTATATATAAATCAAAAGGTAAATTAAATTGTTTTGCCAAACTATACCTTCTTCTATTTTAAATTGTACACTCATCGTGCATTAGATATGGAATTTTCCACGAACAAAGTTTATTTTAATCAATGGACATTTATTCTTCGACTGGTTTTTTATTTTCTCTTAATAATGTGTCAACAAAGTCCACTTAAAATCACACAAATGAATAATTAAAATAACCATTTCAAAAATAAGTAAAAGACGCGGTATCATTTGCATTACAAGTTCAGCAAAAACAATTTATTCCATGAAAAATCAATAAGCTATTTTTATTTAAATGTATCGTCTGGGGCATAAATTAAGCCTAAGAAAAATTTTAGTAAAAGTAATTTTTGTCCTTCTATCTAAATATCAAATACGTAAAAATGATATAATTTAAAATTTCATACTAACCATTATATCATAAAAATAATTATTATTTTTGTATTTTTAGTGCTAAATATAAATCTAATTATGTTAAAAAATATAAGTATGTAATTTCTTGTTATAGATGTAACTTACAAATTATTCAAATTAAGATTAATAGGTTATATTAAACAATGATATATCGTATAGAATTATTAATTTAATGATAATTTTTGATAAACAATACTCGAGTAAGCCTAAGAGTTTGCCACTAATACATCTGTTAAAAAACTGACACATTCTTCATTTATTTGTAAAATTTCTATTATGTTATAAATCGCATTTTTCTTTTTTTTTTTTGTTTGACTGTGTATATTTTCGTATTAAACGATTGAGTATTTAGTAAGAATAGCAGTAATAATATAATGAGTAAGATAAATTTTATACATTTATTACGTAAGAAGCACATTGTAAAATATTTGTAGATAATTGATATATATATATATATATATATATATATATATATATATATATATATATACATAAATTAAGATGATAAAATAAATTAAATTAAATTTACATTAATTGAAAATGGATAAAGTGTATTTGAATTCAATAAAAATAACAAACAAAGTAACAAATATACTTTAAATAACATAACATTAAAAAAAAATACTTTATTTTTTTACTTTATTTACGTATCGTAATTTTCTATTCGAATAAAACTCAGCTTATTTCGTAAAAAAATTAAAGTGGGGTTTCACTTTAATTATCTCATGAACTGTTTACAAAAAAGCATATTAACATATTAAAAATCCGGATACCCTTCATTTATATATTGTCTCGTTGTTTAATATTTTTTTCAAGATATTTAACAACAAATTACACTTTTATCAATAAGATTCAAATAATTGGAAAAAAATAGGTTGATTAACAAAAGAATTTAATGTCTCCAATTGATTTTAAATATCTTCTGATTAAATGAACACGCGAATAATACTTATACAACTTTGTGACTTCGATATAAAATTTCCTTTACTTATAAAATCAATTAGATTTTGGCGCAATTGCTTTTACTATATGGATGAATAATTGTATGCAATTATTTGTAACTGAGTAAATCTTGGCGGTATAAACTTTCCATACGTAATATACGAGCTGCCCGTGTTATTACGAAAAGAAAGCAAATAAAAGATCTCAAGTACATTTGGAGAATTAAAAAAAAGCATTTAACATCTATAATCAAATATGAAAATGTATTTGATGAATTTAAGGTATTAATGTTTCCTGACTGAAACCTATTTGAACCTACTGAACCATCGCGCTTATCAAAATTACCATCGCTTTAGCTAATATTCGACCCCATTCTATTTGAACGGCAAACTCGGCGGGACTTTAATTATTCATAAAAAGCTTAAATATGAAAAGCTCCGTCAATTTTCAGCAGCGGCAAGTCAATCTCAATATTTTCGTACAACGAGACTTTGCTACCACGCGGCGTCCTAAGTCGGAAGCGAACTTCGGTCACTGGTAAGGACTCGACTACGACAAGCGAGGAGGCCAGGCAAACCCTGGATCGACGACTGTCCGAAGATAAATTGGGGACGACGCCGTGCACCGGGAAAATCTCCGAGGCCAGCGATGGAAATTCCACGAGGCTGAATGACATGACTGGTACCGACATCAACGTGAGTAGTTTGTATTTGCATCGCCATTGTTCAAGCACGACGGATTCTTTTATTCCATTCGAGCGAATATAATTATTATGAATTCTCGTAGCAATCGTCCGTAGACTATAGATGAATAGATTTTTTAGAATTTTTTGTTTCTCTCTCTCTCTCTCTCTCACACTCTCTTAAAGAATAATAAGAAAAAATAATTAAAATTATTACTATTACATTTTATTGTATTATATTATATTATATTCTTATTAAATTTTTTGCTATTATAATAATAATAATAAATATAAACATAATTAAAATATAATTAAAAAAAAAAAAATAATAGAGGAAATTGAAAATTCTAATTATTATTCTTATTATATGATGGCAAATTGAGTTAACTTTACGCGTACAATGTGTGCTGACGTAGAAAACTTACATATAATTTCCAACGTAAATTAAATTCATTTGCCGTATACGAAATCTTACTTTCCATTGATCCTTTTATGATAATTGCGTCTTTTTATTTTATCAAATCTATTGCAATTAGTATGAATATTTTAAATTATATAATAAAAATTTAAGAGAATTTTTGGACAATTCCAATTTATAAGATATTTTACAAGGATAATTAAATTTTCAATTAAAATTTATATAAGCTGCCACCACATATGATAGGTAAATAATGTTAAATAGAACCTAATGCGTAAATTTAACATTTTATAAATAAAAACGGTGGTATTAAAAGTATGAGGTTTTAGAGGAGATTTTAATCTTATATTTTGTAGTCTAAATAAAGCATTTAAAACTCGAATGTCTGTATTATTGTTTCATCGATCATTTATAATATATGACCAGGCGGATCAAGCGATTACTTCTATCGTCAATATTTGTTTTCCAAAACATTGTTTACAGATAGCTTATGACAATCGAAAGTATCGTTTTAATAATATTAATATTTAAGTATTCATAAATTCAGAATATGACAACTTTATTTATGAGAAAAATTAACATTGAACAGACAAGAATAAAAACCAAACTTTCATTTATTATTTTTTTACGTAATAAAATATTTGCCTAATAACAGACAATAAAAACCATACTACAATTCAAATCGAACCATTAATTTTTTTATAGAAGTATTAAAATAGCAAATTTTTAGTTATCAATATATGTATGTGTGTCTGTATATATATATATATATATATATGCATATATTGTACAAAATTTGTAAATACTTACAAGTTTGCAGAAATAGATTAATCAATTTTAAGTTTTTAATTTTTTTGTCAAGTTTGAATGTCGTCCAATGTCGTTACAGTTTACTCTCAAAACGAATAGGAACTAATCCGCTTTATATGGTGCAAAACTTTTAAACTTAATAAATATCTTTGCAGGCTGAAACCCAATCAAGCACAAGTTCGAAAGTCGAATCCTTACCGGATGCAACATCAGTCGAACCTGTAAACGATACATCGGATGACTCCCCATCGCCATCAACTGTTCAATGGAGTCATACTATAGCGGAGATGAAAGAACAAACGATTACTAAACTTCAAGAGGAACTTCAGCGTGCCCACGAAGAACTCAAACTCAAGGACGAAGAGGTCGGAAGACTATCACGAATCCGCCAAGATGTCGAAACTGAGCTTGAGGAACTTACAGCTAGTCTCTTTCAGGTGAAGATTTCTCTTTTTGCAATTCAATTTTCAATGCGAATTTCCGATATTAAAAGACTTAGTTACATCTGTCAAGAGCAAAGTATAATTAAAGTTTACTTGTTAAAAATCCAATTTTTTATTTTACCAAGTTATCAAATACCATCAATATGTCATAACTCTGAAATTTACGATTTTTTTTTTTTTATATTTCTTTTAAAAGTTAAAATTATAAATTTATTTACAAACACGTTTCTCAAGATGGTATTACAGAGAGAAAGAAATATATATTAAACAAGTATATTTAATCGATTAAAATAATAGTTATAATTAAAATTATAATATTTTTTTTTTAATGTGTTTATAATTTAGGGTTCTTTACAACATTTAATCATTTATAAAAAAAAAAGTTCTTCGTTGAAAAAAACAATAACAATGAGCAATTATTATAATTCAAGCAACTAAAATTATTCTCATACACGTTAAATTCAATTAAAAATAAAGTGGCAGAATTACTTATTTTAATTTCTATTCCGATTTTCAGTTTGAATATATGTTGTAACAATTACCTATATATATTTAAAATGTTTAAAAATTTAATTTTATCGAAATAAATTTGAAATATTTATTTACTCTAATGTGCATTTATTAAAATTCTGACAAATCCATTAATTATATATCAGTATAGTTTAGGAAATTCATTGATATTTTATCATTTAATTATAATATAACTTGCAATTCACTTAATGTTTTTTGAAATTTTGACATGAAAGGTATATACGAATATTTTAAAATAAATATTATGCGCGTGCGTGCGTGTGTGTGCGTGCGTGCGTGCGTGTGTGTGTATTTTTTTTATAATTAAGTGAAGTTGTCAATGTTCAACTTGCACATTAAATCTCATGATAATTTACATTTGCATAAATTTTTAATTCATTCTCTTATAAATATAGAAATATGCAAATGAAAGTATATTCAATTCAATTCTCTTAACTAACTAAAAATCTAAATACGTACTTTATAATGAATTTTTAGACAAAATTTGTATAGGTGTGTATTAATATTATATCGACTGTATAAAACTATCGAACTTTTACGGAATATATATATATATATATATATATATATATATATATATATATATGTCAAATTATTTGTGTTATTTAATACGTTCAGAATTGATAAAAAATTATAACAAAGTACAGGAGCATTATGTTCGCCCTGATTGTGCCATGATTTGAATTAAATTGTGAATTACGCTTGAAATGTTGTGAATGTGAAAAATTTAGAATTATAAATCGGTACAGCGTATACAGCATATACACAATATTCGATATATCAACGGTAATGAAATAATCCGATCCAAGCGCGATCCGTAGCATCGACCCATCAATTTCATCTTAATGAAGAGTGATATCGTTTGCAGGAAGCACACAATATGGTGCGCGAGGCTAACCAGCGGCAAGCGAACGCCGAGCGTCTTCTTGAGGAGAGCCGCATGAAGTCAGAGATGCTGGCAGCGGAGGTCGCCGCCCTCAAGACCCTCGTACTTACCTCGACTCCTGCTCGACCCAACCCCCATCTTCATCCCCAGATCTCAGGGGCCTGCGGGGCGATCGACGACGCCCACCACCACCACAATCACCACAACCATCACTACCACCACCACCAATATCAGCAACAGCAACAGCAGCAGTACCAACAGCATCAGCAACAGCATCAGCAGCATCACCATCAGCAACAGCAACAGCAATTACAACAACAGTGTCAGGTCCAGCAACAGCATCAGCAACAGCAACAGCAGCAGCAGCATCATCAGCAGCAGCAGCAACAGCAGCAGCAGAATTACAGCCAACATAGCGGTATCTTCGCTAAGAAGCACCGACGCTCCCCCTCGCATTTCAATCTCAAATATGGCAGGGAAAATTCACCGCCGGACTCGCCGCAGCGCGATCTCAGGGTTTCGTTACCCTGCGACAAAGATGCTGGATTCGAAAGGGACATCGAGAGGGAGCGAGAATGCGACTGGGAGCGCAAGAGGGAAAGGTGAGTACGACTTTGCAAATTTCGAGTCTTTACAATAATATATATGTATATATATATATATATATATATATATATATATATATATATATATAAAGATATGAAGTCAAAGATACTGAAAAGCTAAAGATGTAAATTAGCTGGATGAGGAGCTTTTCTTCCCACACAAGAGACTCTTTGCACAAAAGACTCGGATGTCTGTGCACGCGAATCCAAGATTTTCCAAGTTTTATTTTAATGTCACCACAGACCGTAATGACTAAGGGATCTCGCGCTTTAGTAAATGATGATTTATCACTATATTATTAAAGCTACTTTATAATCGTAAATGATTTATAAAAATTAGATAATTTCCCTACTTTTGATAAAAAAACTATTTATATATACATTTTTAATATTTTCCTTTAATATTTCAAGCAGCTCGTTTCAAGCAACTCTTTAATAAACAACTTTTTAATAAATATGCTCGCAAAATCGTAGAAGAAAATAGAAAATACTCAGAAGAAGAAGAAGAAGATCGTATATTTTATTTTAATGAGTGTGCGATTCACAACGAAATTACTTAAAAAATTAATATGCATTGCCATAGAAAAATATCCATAATTCGTATTTCCCATAAAAGATTCTTATTTAGTAAATTATTATTGGATATCCATTCTTGATAATGTAAGCGCGTCGTGGAACGACACGACACAAATGCGTTGCAATATAAGCGCCCCATTCC